GGGGGAGCTGTGGAGCTGTGTTCCAAATTGAAACACCTTGAATTTCAGTCGGGGCTGCTAGAATTATTAAAAAAAATGATATTAAACAAATAAAAACATGATGCATATTGTTCCTACAACATACTTTCTATAAACATTTCTTATTTATTTTTGGACATTGAACTAAATCCATTTGTATTGCTAAAATAACAACATCTTTGGAATTAAAATAGTAGAAACTTGTGGAACACTTTGAGGTGAAGGGAGAAGCTGACCTTAACGTCTACTCCTGGAATGTAGAAGACTGTGGTCTCCATGTCGTTGGATTTGGTCTGCAGGGTGGAGGGACACTTTTTCCCGGCTAGCAGGTGGGTGGTGGAGGTGTAGGTGGGCTGCAGCTTCTTCTTCTTAGGGGGAGACTCCTGGTCCAGACTCCTGAGGCTGTGATCACAGCTCCTACAGAAAAGTTGTGTTGAGTTGTCTTATTTATATCTACAATGGATAAGCTTCATCTTCCTTGGATTTCATAATGTCGATACCACACGTCGTAAAAAGTAGGAAAAGTTAGTCAGACTTCCTGTTTGCCTCGTGTCCTATTTGACCCTGACAATGTTTTTATGTTGGAATAAGGGGTCATTTCATGTAATTGCCACAAAAAGATGGTTTCATACTAAGTTCTAAAGGTTTCCAAGAAAACTCAATGATCATTACTTGCATAAAATGTGGGGTGTTTTATTTATACTAATAGCATCTGGTGTTATTATGTGCTCTCATTTGAACGAGTTTCAAAACAGAATCCTAACTAAACGTTGAAGTATACAAGTCTTTGATCATTCATAATGACATGTTCCTCTAATGTTAAGTTTAGTCCAAATAATTCACTATTTTTGCCTATTTTTTATCTCAAAAATGTGTTATTGTTCAGAGTCATTTGGTCATTGGTTTAAAAGGTGTTACCCAGATTTGGGTGATGAATGATTTATACAGTATATATACTGTATATGCTTCAGTATAAACCACTATAACAGTTGTTTAAAAAATGTGCATTAAATCGTACCTCCTGAGGGCAATGTCCTCGTGCTCTGGCTGCTGAGTGGTGGGGTGAAGGACACACTTCCCACTTTCGATCTCCACGCGGATATCCAGCTCAAAGTCAATGTTTCTCTCGGTTGTCGGGCCGCTGAAGCTGCGGTTGGCGGCGGTGCTCGGCCAGCGCTCGCTGAACAGCTGACTCACAGCAGAGAAACCCGAGGCCTTCCTGTGAGAAGCTTGGCTGAGGAGAGAGAAGAAGGGCAATGTTTGGAAAAGAAGCTTGTTTCATAACAAAAAAGAAACCAGAAAAGAAGAGCTTTCATGCAAAAGAGTGGTGGAATATGGCTGAAAGTAAGGTCTGCGGCAGGATAATCGCCACAGATGAACACTTTTATGAATTTTGTAGCATCAATGCAATTGCCGGAAGTATCAAGCTAACGTTAGGCTTAAAGGTGGCTAATGTTCGAATGTTGGCAACTACCATTTTAATGACACATAGAAGCTTGGAAAATTAAAGAGTGGGATATTAATATACATTTTTTATGTTGTAAAACAAAAGTTGTGTTAACCACAGACCTTATTGCCAGACAAAAACACTTAAACACAAAAATAGGGAACCGGAAGTGCTAAAATGCAAACGTCCGGGTTTAAGGACTCATTCCTGCAACACTATAAAGTAACCTAATGGTGCCTCATTTGATCTAACACTCATCACAACAACTCACAAAGGCCTGCGGAAGCTCTGTGGTTTTTCACGCTCAAACTCGTCCTCCTTCTCTGAGTCTTCGGAGGAGGATGAGGACAGGTCGTCGCGCCTCATGTCGTCGTGCTGGAATAGAAGTACTGGTGAGAAGACAGCGGGGGTGCCAGGGGCACTGAAAACTGAGTGATTGCCCTCCATAACGGATGGAGAATGGAGAGGATGGAGGTGATGATGAGGGTGGGATGGCTCGTCGACGGTGACCGACAACAGGTCCACCTCTGTCTCCTCAGGAAACTTCAGAAGAGGACAGAGTCAAACTCACACAGGAAGTGCTATCTACTTAAAAACATGTCTTAAGTAGGAAGAGAACCATGGGGTTAACACTTTGAAGGAGGTAGTGTTCTGGTTATTGGACCACTAGGGTTTGTTTTTTAAATGAACGACATAGAAGTTTATCTTTAAATACTAAAATTAGATTATAATGTCAAATGTTTCTGTTTCCAAAAGTCCTCTTTTCTGGTTTGTATGGTTAGGTTTAGACAATTCATTTGATGAAGTGAACATTTCCATCGCCAAACCAAGTTTATTTTGAGGTTTATTGAAGTTACACATTACCTGTTTGTCCAATTAGGCAAGTGAGAGTTGTTCTGTAGGTCCGTAGCATCTGGTAAAACTCATCTAGAACATCTTCAATAAACCTCAAACTCAACTGGATATAGTGACTGTTATCTTCTGTATTGTATTTACGCACAATCACTACAACCAACTACCTGTGTGTTGACGACAACCAGCAAAGAGGACATAGGGACACGGAAAAATTCCCCCTGCCTGCATTTAATCAATGCCACCTAGTTTCCAAAATAATATTGCAAGATACAACATTTAAATACAAAGACAAAAAACACCATAAGTGGTTCCTAGTTGTATGACATGTCCAATGAGAGAACACTACCCGCCTGCAACAGTTCCCAGATAAGATGAGAGCTCATGCACTGAATGAAAGACAAACAGGAAGATGGGGACCCCGACCGGAGAATATGTACACATCTGTCTCAAGAGAGGGACAGTGGAAAGATGCCCAAGAAAGTTTTACAGGTCTTAATGACCGCTGGAAAAAACCCCATCGACAACCAACAGAAGAGGTGTATTGACTGAAAGTCGGTTAAAAGTGTAGAAATGTTTGCTGAATGCCTCTGAAACTAATCCCGACTTCAAATGTTTCCGAGCATCAACAGTATTTGTCTTTTTGGTGGTTTATTTTCACTGACGGAGAGTATGTGGGTGTTTAAGGCCAAATGACCATGAAAACACGAACAACTGAGGTGAACTCGGTCATGTGGCCTCAAGCAGAGTGAGACCGGGTCATTATTAGAGAGTGGATATTGGAGGAGTTGAGTAATGAAAGCAATTTGATCATTTCAGCAAGAATTTTACAGAAATGTAAGGACTGTAGGACTGGCTTATCTAAAGCCAGTTGAGTAGCACTTGAAATGTTTTGGCTTTATGAAACCTGATGTACTTATATGATTCTGTTTTCTTCAAGTTTGTATCTTGTTGGTCGAATGCATTTATTGTAAGTCGCTTTGGATAAAAGCGTCAGCTAAATGCAATGTAATGTAATCAGGGCAGGGAACTGAATGACCTAACTGAGCAGTTTCATAAAATAAATTCTCGGAAGTTTTCCTTGCTAGTAGACGATATGACTTTTTTTTTTTGTCAAGTTCAACATCATGTAATTGCCAAAGATCAGGGTAAGTAAACAGTCAAATTCAGTTATGATAGTTAATTATTTTTATATATTCAGTTTTTATTTAGTATTTTTCGGGAAGACAAACAAAGACAGTTTTTGTGTTTCTTTTGAGTTTGAATGCAGCGTGTTTTATGTCAATGTAAAATGTATGTTTCTGTCAATGAAGTCTGGTGGCTTTAAAGTGAACATATTGATGGAATCTTTTGTACGTAAACACATTGTAATTTCTCCAAATCCTTGTTGAATTTATTTATCATATACATTTAAACATGCGTCTCCTACTAGTCATTTTTACACTACAGAAAGTGTGCGTTTTAGGGGCCAATATGAGGATTATGTGAACAAATTAAATAGCTCATAGCTCATTGTTATATACCTGTCTAATTCTATTATAGCTTGTTTTAATGCGTATTATCTTGGCTTTTTAGTACCGTAATTTTCGGACTATAAGCCGCACCTGAATATAAGCCGCAGCAGCGGCATACCACTCTCGGTTCCACTTTTACTTTTGCGCGCTACCTGTCTCACTCTTTTCCGGCCTCCAGCTTTTCCTGCTGGAACCCGCCGCTTAAAGGTGGGGGTCCGCGGACCGGCCATAGAGCTCATAGAGTTAAAGGTGTTGGCCGTTAGCTGTAAAAATCCATAGATTAGCCGCACCGTTATATAAGGCGCAGCGTCGAAAAATAGGGAAAAAGGCGCGGCTTATAGTCCGAAAATTACGGTAGTTGTTTTTTTATTTAATGCCCAATATACATGCAGTTGTGACAAACAGCAGCTGATTCAGAGCTTCACCATGCAGAGCTGTTAGAAAATACATTAGAGGTTGAAGATTTGGTTATGTATGTTTTGATTTTGCATTTTAGAAGAGAAGAGGAAACAGAAGTATTTGTTGGCGTTGGTTATTTTTGATTAGTTCAATTTCAAATTGTCAAGCATATACCTTGAATATCTCTCCAGGACTGATGGGTGAGTTTGCAGCTTCGAAGGCCTGATTATTTATCTTCAATTAAACAAAAATGTACATCCAAAATGAAAAAGAAAAAAAACTCGGCTTCTGCTTTTGAGCCAAATTTGGAGTAAAACTGCAAGAATTCTCAACCAGATGACATACGAGTCCCGCATAATGTAAATATATGATATGAAGAACATTTACAGTGACACAATGAAGAATGAGATGATGATTTATGAACTCTTTGAGATCAAATATCTACTTTTATCACAGTATTATTGTGGTAAGAACAAATGTGTCAAGATCATACTTCTGCTAGCTAACATATGTGAATGTCTTAAGGCTTACTCTGTTATTTCAAAATTGGGGATTCATAGGAGAAATGTGTTTACCGTGTCCTGGATGTTGAAGGTGACCCGGGGTCCAGGAGAGGAGGCATCCACGCGCATATCTGGTAGATCATCCAGATCTCCTATTCTGGAACTATGGACACAGTGACGTGATTTAAAAAAACATGAATACATCTAGAAGCATCGAGAACATCAGAAGATTGTATTTTTTCTCTGTACAGTTCTTAATCCCTTTGAACCGTCTGATTCCCTGCCAAATCTGACAAAACTGTTTAAGAGTTTATGGCTCTATCCCAATCCAGTGTTTGCATTTTTCAAAGGCTACATTTTTTTGCACATCCTTTCAAATGTAAGTACTGGGTTTCAACTAATTCAAATAATTAATGACACAAATATCAAAACCAATGAGCCTTAAAAGTTATATTTTCTTTAAATAATAGGCTAAATACATCACGTTGGTAATGCTAATTAGCTAGCAAGCTGGACACTGCACAAATAGAGATTGAATTAATGATAGGCTGAATATGTGACGTTAGGAATGCTACTGTAGCTAGCTGGAGAGGCTACGCAAAACCGATATTTTATTAATATTAGGATAAATACGTGATGTTAGTAATGCCAACTAGCTAACTAGCTAGCTGGTTGGTTGGTTGGATAGGCCATCACTTTTACTGTAGCCTGGCTGCCCTCAGACTTTACAACATTATTTCAAATTAAAACTGCTTAATGTAGGAGGTTGACAGAGATTGAAGCAATGTTATATATTACACTTTCAATTGCGTACATACAGCACATGGACCAAAGTAAATACATTTAAATACCCTGACGTTTTGCCAGTTAAAGGTAGGGTAGGTAAGAATGGAGAAGCCAGCTTGAGTGCGCTAGAATTTGAAAGTATGCAGCCGAAAAAAATCAGCCCCTTCCTTCAGACTTCCTTGCAGAGCCCCTCCTCCAACACACACGAACGCTCACATGACCAATGAGGGCACGAGATAAGTTTGTGCACAGATGGAAGGCTGACAGGCAGGTAGGCCATCCAGTTATTTTAGCCGGCCCGGCTCAGATGATTGGTCTAGCTTTTTACAGAGCTACGGCTTCCACAGATTAAATGTTTTTATGTATTTATTGTCAAAGCATTTATTGTATTCATTGCTATCGGGATGTTAAGAGCATTCCATGGAATATATCAAAAAGTGTTTCTGAAGTGAATTACCTACATTTTTCATTGTTTTACTCTTTATTAAACTCAAGTGGCAGAATTAAATTATACTAGCTCATTTATTTCCTGCTCAGAGTTAATGTTTTCCGGTTTGCTTTAGGTCTTACAGTGTGTCGACTGTTTTAACACAATTACCACATTATTACAGGCATCTGCATAATTACTATAAATAAATGGGAAAAACACTTACTTTCCTCTACACTACGTTGTAATGTGTGAGTCATTGCATCCTCTTTGTGAGAAGGTTAATGAGGAAGGTGTTTCAAAAACATGTAGCTCCATCAGCACCAAAGGTTACCAGGGCTTGTTTGTTTACAGTAAATGCTGGATAAAGCGCCATTGATCGTGTCACTTCCATAATGATATGACAGCAGGGAAAGTGGCTACTGCTGTCCTTGTTACCTCTGTCTTTCCATCCTTTTCAGAGGGGGGCGACCCGCTGCTGCAGAGATGCTTTTGGAGCGGTTGTAGCTTGGTTTGTAGCCAAGACCCCACTTATCCTTCAGAGAGGCCGCCTGGGGAGGAACAAACACCAAATCAGAAATACATTTCTTTAGCCATTAAGAAGTTGCTCCGAAATATACCTAGGCTATAAAAGCCTGATGCCTTCTATAAAATGTTGGGGAAATTCCTACTTTTGTGGAAAGGAACTAAATATGACCTTGTGAATTAAGTAAGAAAGATATGATTGGATGTGATGTAGCTTCTTATTTAGCAGCTTGAATTGGTGTGCTGGAAAACCAAATGCGAATACAAATGTTGAAAAAAATATGCTCTGGTGTGCTGGTTGAGATTTACTATTTAATAACTATCAATTCCTCCTATTTGGAAATTGCAACATCAGTCCAAATAACTGCAAAAAGTGAAATGTCCTTTTTTGACTAAGAAAGGTAAATAGTCGAGCATTCACCCTCATGCTGGAGCGGCGCAGTTTCTTTCGGACATCTCTCCGGATGTCGTTGACGGCCACCAACTCTAGCTGCTGGTAGCGCTGGATCTCCTGGTCGATGGTGCCTTCGCTGGCCCCCAATTTCCTGTGGAGAAGAAAATATATTAGAGGAAATATTTTCAGCACCAACGGAACAATTTTTATTATCATTATCACAGTGAGAATCAACAAGTGTGTACGCAGGAATCTCACTTGAGGTCGTCGATGACCTTGGCCTGTTCGTTCAACTCTCTGATGTCCACAACCCTCTTGGTGAACTTTCTCCCGCGGGCGTCGATCACCTGGTTCCCCATGGCCATCTGCCTTCTGGGGTCAATGGTCTCCTGTTGGGTCACAGCAATGAAGCACACCAGAACATATTTATCCGAGAAAACTGCAAATTACGTGAAAGAAACCTGCTGATTAAACCCAAAAAAAAAGTCTTGAAAGATTTCCGCCCGGCAAATGCTGTGAATAGGAAACCCAAATCAGTCTGGTGAAAGGGGAAGACATTTTGATTGTTAGATCAAAGTATGACATGTAGTCCAATCAGCACACCAGGTATCATAAGCAAAGAATGTCACTGACACCACCACCACCACCTCCACCAGCAGTACCACATGAAGGGAAAGATGATTCTCCTTTGCCACAGGAAGTCATTTTGTTTCACCCGCCAGTCAATCTTATAAAGGTGGGCAGTGAAAGCAAATGTTACCAACACTATTTTCCGTTAGCTTAAGCATGGAAAAGCATTGCTCAGCCTTTATAAATCCAAAACCTTGATGTGATAATTGCTGTGATGTGATTTAGTCATCCCAGAGAAGAAGTTTTACACTGTGGTGGGCCACATGTACATACACAGGCCCAGGAGACGGGTCTTTGGGCCCTGGCACTGCCTGCTCGGAGGCGAGGCGATGAACAGTTTGAGTCGTCAGCGGCGAGAGACACACTGTGAGGCCTGGGGCTGAGGCCCAGGATGTGGTTTACCAGACGCTTCCTTAAGGTGAGCCGAGGGCTGAACTGGCTCCCTGGACTCTGAAAACAATTGGACAAATGGATGCAGAAGTGGAAGAAAAAACGACCGCTGTAACCAGACTGTAGCCTCTAAAGCTTTAGGGTGGGCCAGGTAGAATTGATTAGGGTGTTTAACCTGCCTCTTATCTAAAGGACAGGTCGATGAGTGTTATTGATCTTCCCATCTAACTCACAGCAAGAAAGCGAATAGGTTTATGTCCATTAACTATTCCATTAACTCGTGATAACCACCAGATCTAGCTCTGAAAGTCTATTCATGTTGTTGTTTATTTTACAAATCTAAAGAAATTGATTTTACACATATCATTCGAAAAGTCCTGATTGGAGCCGGATCTGATCAAATGTTTCTAAACAAAACAATGTGTGTGACAACTTATGAAAAAGTGGTATTTAAATGACAATGGAATTGGCTAAATCTGTGGAGAAAAAACAAAGTATATCCTTCATACATTAACCCCAAAACAAACCAGGATGTAGATGAAGCAAATATGGACTGACCATGTGGACGGTGGGTGACATGGAGTCGGCTTCATCCTCGTCCGAAAGGTCCGCCATGTTGACGGAGTTCAGGTCGGCAATGTCGTCGACGTCCTCCTCGCCCGTCAGAGACGTCAAAGTGTTACCCAGCGCGTTGAGCCGCTTGCCGATGTTGGGATCCATGTGGACGTCGATACCGCACATCTTCCAAAGCACATTCAGAGTCCAGGTGCCGGCACTACTGCTCTCTGTTTTTATAGGAGGAAGCCAGGAGGAAGCCAGGAGGGTTAAGAAGGAATCAACAGAAGAGGAACTGTAATGCATAATTACATTTCCTGACAGACGTCTCAAGCTTTTATGCAGCTCTTGTGTGTGATGCATGTTTTATGGACCAGAGCTTAGTTAGAACTTGCCTGCAGAAGGTTGCCCTGTAGTCCTGGAACAAACTTCATAAGTACCATCAGGGACTACACCTGTAAACAGACACAGACATACAGACCACAGCCAGTCAATATTTCAGGGGAGCTGCGAGCATACCAGACAAGGGGAACAAAGGGTGGTATTCCAACTCCTGTGTCAGCTATGTGGAAGATCCAGGGGTATTCCTATTCCTGAAAGTAATGTCAATTTGGCTTTATGAGCCACTGAACAACTTATATAGGAATGACCGTCGGAGCAAATATAGAACAATTATAAAAACTAAATTAAAATGATCTATTATAAAGAACTGTTCTGAGTTCAAATCCACCTGCAATTATGGCAACATTTAAATAAAGACTAAAGGTTCCATACTTCAATCAATCAATATTTTTCACAACACTAAAAAGCCCATAACCAGTTGGTTGAAAGGCAGGCTTTTTGGTTTCAAAACATTGTCCAAATGACACAATTTATCATTTAGAAAATGGAGTTCTCCATTGTAGTCAAGAGTATGTGGTTTTCTATAGAGGCACAGAACTTGCAGTATAAGACGAGTGATTAAAATGTGCTAAAATGGCCCAGGTTCAAAGGGTTAAGGGTGATCAAAATGAATACAAATAAGTTGTATGCAGTTTAAAATCCACAGTTATTAAATATAATGCATTCCTCACAAGCATTCATGACCATGTCCCCTCTGATTTCAGGCTTCCAGTCGTCCCAGGAGGTCTCGAAGCCCTCGGCGAAGCGGATGCAGAAGTTCTTGAAGTGGCCTTTGCTCACCAGGGACTCTGACGAGCAGGCGGTGATCAGCGTGCTCTCGATGGTCAGCACCATGGCTGAGCCCGTGTCAAAGTCTATGCTGTGGTTGGCCTGGCAGAGGAGCAGGGAGAGGGGGGGTTAACCAGGCCTCAAGAGAGGGGAGGGAGTACATGGAAGAAGAAAAAAACCCCTCCATTTGTTTCGAAAAAAAAGCCAGAATAAGCTGGTAACACTTCACTCTACTGTACTGTATATCAGTTCGGCATCAAAGCATCACGGCCATAAATACTCAAAATTCTTCTGATAGCGTAATAGTCTTTTTACTAAATACATTCTGCTCCTGTCAAGACACCAATGAGTGAAGTGTTCCCAAGCTTTTCCCTTTGTTAGAATATGTTTAATTGCAGGATCGAGGGAAACATGTGCCATGAATTTCTCAATGGTCCTAAAATAGGGGTCTGATTATCATCCCAGTTATAATCATGACTGGAGGCTGGTAAGGCTCCTAACTAATAAATGTTACGTTATAAGGGCTTGGACAAAATAAGGAATATGTTTGACTCATGTTAACGGGCACGGACTGTGATGCACTGGAAATTAATGATTGTGTTGTGTTACTCTATATCATGTGTACAGCAGATAATAGTTTTCGTTTAAATCAAATTATGTTTGCCATATAGAGATGACTTCCTTTTAAAATTAGGTGGTCTAGACTCCTATCATAGACTTGAATATGCTACATTTGAGTAAGTATGCTATAGTCAAGTTATAGTTTTGAATCGCACTATCCAAATTGGACTGTATAAGGAGTTCATTCAAATAAGGCATGTGAAAAGTGCAAAATGGTTGTGTTTACGATATGACTACAGGAGGCTTATTTGTGGGTCTCACCAAAAATAAAGACTTCCAATAGGTCTTTTGCTTCAACTTTGTCAGTGTTCGTGCCCAAATAATAGTACTAATAAATATTGCACTCCTTGCAATTTGAATATTGCACTTGACCATATTGCAATTTCAATGACATTTTGATACGTTTTGCAGCCGTATCTGTTATTATTACTGAGTGAAAATCAGACCACAGTTTTGGAAAGATCCAGGTCTTTTCTAAACATTTTCTTTCAGAAGAATAGACAGAGTCTGCCATTTTTGCATTAGATTTGACATTACTGTATGTATGCAATTTCATGGCAGTCTCTGAAAGATTAGATCAAAAAATGCTCATTCCATTTTAGCAACACATAGAAAATAGTGAGGATACCAACTAGCATAACTTTTTTCAGTATGAAGTAATTACACAGCCCAGACACCAACTTCAGCTTCATTAGTTTCCATTTTTTAAACAGAGAGCACTCGTGATGCAGTGTACAGTAAATCATTGTCCCACAACAAGCCATCACAGGAGATGTAATAAATCGTAGGTTACTTTTCGTGCATTTTTATGGCCGCCTACTGATGAGCTGGCCCCAGCTTCAGAGTGGATGCCCTCCGTAGCTGCTACTTGTCCTCTCTATGGAAATAAGTGTGACATAACAGCTGGTGTATCTTGTCTCTATGGAAATACTGTAGTATAGCAGAGTATGTAGAAAAACAAGACAACCGATACAAACCATTCATTAATATCCAGTGTTTCCCCTAGGAAGTGTGTGTAACATTTGAAAAATAAATAAATATATATAAATAATTAAAAAACACCTTTTGCAATGTTTGAAGACTACAGAAACTCAGTTTGATGAATCCAAAAAAGAAAAGAAAATTATCAATATTTTAAGTGATTGAGTAATGAAGGTGTGTGTGTGTGTGTTGGGGGCAGATTAATGGACATTCTGCCCACTTATAGCTAAGGTAGGGGAAACACTGATATTGAAACTTTTTAGAGAAGAATTGTTCTTTCATTGTGTCTTAAGAAAAACAAATAAGAATCCATGACCACTGGTACACTTAATGTTGCCAAGTGCTGATTGAAAATGAAATATGATTATCACTGAACACAAAGGGGGGATGACTTAATTCAACAATTTAAAATAAAACATCATTCCTGTGTGTGCTTTTAGTTAGAATTTGCTTACCAATAAACTGGTTCACACTGGTTAAACTTTGGTAGTTGTTATGTGCATTTCATATGCTAAATTGCACCATGATTGAGGTGCAGGAATGAGTCATAAAACCAGGGAATTAGTTAACATTTGCCACTTCAAGTCAACAGTTGTTTTGGTAAGATGCCTGAAATAAAATCTGTGGTTAAAACAAGCTGATGAGATTTGCATTTTATGATCTATGACATGAAATACGTGGGTAAATACCCCATTTGTGAATGTCCGAAGCTTCTATATGTTTTAAAACGACCCTTGCTGTTGACTAAATGTCATCATTTCAACATTAGCCGCCTTTAGCTTAGCGGTGGTGAGGTGAAGTCATTCCTTTGTGATATAGTTTGTTTTTAGCCTAATGTTAGTTTTTCACTTCTAGCAATTGCATTTACGCTTCAATTAAGACTTTTCGTACGTAGAAAAAACGAGATGTTGGTTAGATTCCCAAAAGAATATCTGTGGTTATCAAATTTAAAGACACTTCTTGTTTGTTGTACGACATCAAATATGTCAGTAAACACCCCACTGGTGGATATCTGAAGCTTCTTTGTGTCATAAACATGGTGGTTGCTAACAATTGCTAAATGAGACTTCTAAACATCATCAGGCCGAACATTAGCTGCTTTTAGCTTAGCGGTGGTGACCTTAAGCCGATAGCATGTACACCTCAACTATTATAAAAGTATTGTTAATATGTGGAGATTATCCTGCTGAACAAAACGTATAAGTATTATAAATATGTGTTTGCTGCAATATTAAAAATCCATTGGAAAAATCCCTTCGGCTTTTGTCATTGAGATGCTAACTTTTTGTTCGGCCTACAAAAATGTGTCATCCCTGCACCACTTTGCAAAGCAAGGCTTTCAATATTACGGTGAAACGGTGCTAAAAATGTAACCATGGTATTTTAATGCCAATCAAAAATGCTCAAAAAGTTGTTAGCCTTCTGATTACACTGTTTAATTTAAATTTAATTTCATTAAACATTAAATGACATATGTAAATGTGAACTTTGAACAGAATAACCTTGAAGCCAAGTGATTGCAACCCTGCTATAGAGTGGTGCAGTGATGAGGTTCTTTTGACCCTTAGGCAGAGACCTGCACGGGTCTGATTTTCAAGACCTGCTCCCGCCCTGCACCAGCGACGTGCAATACCGAACCTGCCCCCCGCACATATTGCCAATTAGTTCCGCCACCCTACCCGGCGGCACAAGATCCGCAACCCGACCCGAACCCGCATATATATGAGCCGTAAAAACGTGCAATTATTAACATGCAACACCCGCGACCCGACCCGCATCATCTTTGTTTTACCCAGAACCGAACCCGGAAAAAAGCATTTGAAAAAACACCACCCGGGAATCACTTTTTTTGCGGGTCACCCATCGGGTGATGCAGGACTCTGCCCTGCGGTTAGCATCACAAGGGCTCCTTCAACAAAAAGCAATGAGATTTCCCCATTACATATTTCCATTGGATTTCATAATATTCAGGAAATAAAATCACATATATATGTATACTTACATGTTTTGTTCAGATGGATAATCTTCAAATATATTAAACGCTTTTATATAATTGAAGCGTAAATGCAACTGCCAGTTGTAAATAATTAAGGCAATGCTATAAACAAACTACCTCATGATTGCATGACTTTATGTTATCACCGCTAAGCTAAAAGCAACTAATGTTTGGTTTAGAAGTCTTATTTAGCAACTGCTATTTTTAAGAAGTGTTGGACATTTACCACTGGGGTATTAATAACCGATATATTTGATGTCGTAGCATTTTTTTTTTATATATATAGTATGCTTGTCTGAACCACAGAACTTATTTCAGGAACCAAGAACAAAAACTGACTTCTAATGGAGGGAACCTGGAAGTGTTGAAATGCTAACTCAGGTTGAGGACTCATTCCAGCACCGCTCTGTTGTTTATACAATTAGCAACTTACCTATATGGACATGGAAATGTACTTATATAGTGCAAATGTCAAAATGTTACAGATCCTAAAGGCGGTTTTGCAGATTACCTGGGAGGTGTTGGTGATGGGGAGGCAGATGCCCAGGTCGTTGACGGTCAGCTGCAGGAAGAGGGTGCTGAAGGCCTGGGCGGAGGTCTGCTGAATGCCCGGCAGCTTGTCCACCACCTCTTTAGTGGCCATGTGGATGTCCTTGTTGAGTGCCAGACGCTGCTCGTTCCAGTTGTCGTACGCCGCCTTGTAATTCAGCCAGAAGAGCACAGCTGCAGGAGGGCACACAGGTGGGTGGAAAATAACTTAGAAGTTACATCCAGAAAGTAGTGTAAACAAGTCTCATTAGATTTAGAGACGTTAGGTCGGTAGGTTGTTATTTGTCGTCTGTGAAAATTCAATTCCATCACTCAGCGGATCAGTGTGTCGGTAGAATACTTCATGGAAACTGCGGGCAGTGTCATAATTGGTAACCAACAAACAAATGGAGTTCCTTGGACACATTAAAAAATAACAAACTAGAAAACATTTTGCTAAGGTACACAGGATAACATTTGATAGCAAAAGGGTATTTCTTTTTTTCAGCCATGTTTTTGATTGTAAATAAAAAATTAGCTTATTTTTTTTAATTGGTCAAGTATTGAGTTGCCGCTAAACAAGCTACAATGTAATCCTATAGGGCAGGGGTTTTCAAAGTGTGGGTAGGTGAGCCTCCCCTCAGAGAACATAAGAACAGCCGCGCCCCCCCTCCCAATTATTATTGCTGTTATTATTATTATTATTGTTGTTGTTGCTATAATGCAGGGGTAGTCAATTGCATTTCAAAGAGGTCCAGTAAGAGAAAATGTAATTAAATGCTCTGTTTTCGCTGTCTACCTTCCGCCATTTGAAATTACTCATTCGTAACACTCCGTTCGATGTCTCACTATGGGATGCGCCTCATCGCGGAGCAAACAGAAGCATCAATCTCATTACGCCAATCCTGATTGGCTGGTGATCTTGACGTCAGCGTCAGGGAATCTACCCCCTATAAGTAGCTTGCGCTACGCCGCATGCATCATTCAAACACCTCTTCTCGCTTCAGAGCACATCTCTATTGGTAGCCGGGCTAGGTCACACAGTCCACAGACGGAACCAAGCTATCCAAGCTAACTTTGGTCGACGGGCGCTCGCCGGCTACTTTTATATATACTTCTGCAAGAAGACTGTTAATACTAACACACCAGTTAGTGTTGCAATCTACCTCGCCGTTTATTTCTTCGGAATTAAAGGTAAGGTTTTGATTTTTCAAGATGGTAACACACCTGTTACTAGCTTGCCTTTCCTCACTACCGACACCAAGGTAGCGGGGATGGTTTTTTCTTTTTCTCTCTCACACCAGAGGAGGGGAAGATAAAAAGGGTATTAACACACCAGTTAATATTCTTTGAGAATAAAATTCTACACCGTCGATTTTTTCTCCGGATTAACGACAGGTGGGGAAGGATTTTTTCTCAGCAACGTACCTGTTACGAGCGAGTCCTCTCCACGCCTTCACCACGGCGAACGAGATGGACGCTTCTCTCCCTCACACCAGAGGAGTCAGGGACTCGGAGGCTCGGCTCTGCGGCTGCGGGTTGAAGATATCAGACACAGACTCACACCAGGTCTGCTCGTCCTGCCTCGGGCTGGAACACGCCCAGGAGGCTATCGACAACCCCGGCTCGTGCGGACATTGTGCCCGCTTCACCATCAAGAGCCTCCGCCGACGGCTAGCACGCCAAACTAGCTTGTCGGGACAGGACCCCCTCATGTCCGCTGTTTTACCGGACGGAAATCAGGACACGGGGGCGTCCGCCACAGAGATGGAGCCCCGCACTGTGTCGGTCTGGGGCTCATCAGTAGTAGCAGCTGCAGAACCGGAGTCCCGCGCCGTGTCAGGCTGGGACCCGGTGGCAGCGAGGGACGTGGGAGCGGAGCCCCGCACTGTGTCAAGCTGGGGCTCCAACTGGACCTCACCATAGTCTCGCCCGCGGATGATGTCCTGGAGTTGGCCTACATGGAGGACGAAGAGGATACCTCTGAGTTCCTCCTGTCCGACTCGGATGAGCAAGACGATGATGTCTTCGTGTCATCAGCTCAGGCTGCAAAGCCGGGAGCGATGGCTGCTCTCCCGGGCGATAGCGCACCAGCTTCACCCTGTCTGAGCATGGACCTGCAGGCCGTGTGTCAATGTGCCGCATCCAGGCTGGACATCCCATGGCCTGAAATGGCCAAGGAGACCTCCAGGTCTCGCTACGAGGGGAAGACTTTGCCCCAAGCAGCGAGGACAAAGAGGCAGCTCCTTCCAGTCTTCCCGGAGATGCTGGACGAGGTGTCGGTCTCGTGGAGAGACCGCCCCTTCAGTAATAAGGCCCCAATCCAGGGTGCCTCCTCCCTGGACTGTGACGGTATGGAGAGGCTCGGCCTGCTCCGCATACCGCCCATGGAACCGCTGGTGGCAGCCCACCTCCAACCGAGGCTGGCTCTGACACCAAGCAGGAACCCCACGCTACCGGTGAAGGCAGACCGGTTCCAGTCAGCGATGACGGAACGGGCCTATAAAGCCGCAGCGTTGTCCGCCAGGGCACTCAATGTCTCCTCACTGCTGACCGCCTACCAGGCGGAGCTCTGCGAGGACCTATCGAGCAAACCTGGGCCGGCCGTATGGGACGAGATCGCAGCGATCACGGACATTTGCCTCCGTGTGCAGCGCTGTGCAGTCCAGGCCACGGGCAAAGTCATGGGCATAATGGTGGTACAGGAGAGAGCCAGGTGGCTCAACCTGACCAACCTCCCAGACCGGGAAAAGGAGGATGTTCTTGACATGTCTATCGTTCCCGAGGGTATTTTCGGCTCCGCTTTAGTCTCGATGCAGCGGAGATGTGAGTCGAAAAAGAGAAAGACGAGGCCCTGCACCTCTGTCTCCCCCGAAGGGTCCAGCCGCTACCTGCGACGGTCTCGCGGCAGTCCTTCGCCCAAGTTGCCTCACGTCCTGCCCGGTTCAAGGTACCGAGGCAGCAGAGGCCACAGCCCGCCCCGAGTCCCCAGCCCAGGCAGGAGACGAGGACGAGCTGGCCGAGGAAATCTCCGGTTCCGGCAGCAGCCGTTCAGGCACAGCCGACTCAGATTTTCGGTCACCGGTCGAGGAAGAAGAAGCGGGCGGCCTGACAGCCTCCTCTCCTCTCCTCGGTGACAGAGCTGGAAGTTCCCTGTTCCCCAGCTCCAGATGTGTTTTCGGGGTGCCACCAGGCCTCCATCTTCCCGCCGCCTCGAGTGATGCCGCAACGCCATCCTCAAGTTCGCGCCAGAAGGGAACCAGACTTAATACCAGAGACAGCGAGTTCTGCTATCTGCCTAAGTCACAAAAACACATGTCACAATTGTTGTTGTTTTCAAATAAACCATTTTTCACTGTCGCATCCAGGCTTCAAGCCGAGGGCGCAGTC